TGTTAATATACTTATAATATAATAATAAAAATTTACAATTTAAATGTAAAAATATAGCTTAAAAATTATATAATTCAGGGTGTAATCTCATTTTATATTATTATTTAGTTTATTTATTTACCCTATCAAGAAATATATTATATAAAATCAATATTTTTCTCCATAGAATAACTGAATCTATCAATAAATATTGTACAATCTTTATATAGTGGAACCTCTCAACTGCGGCCACTTCTTAACAGCAACCTTTTTTCAGAATACTTTTTTTTTTTTTTGTTTTAAACAAAACTTTGTACTAAATAACCTCCAAACAACGATCACCTCCGAACAACGGCCATTTTTTTTTTGTTTCCTCCAGTGAACGTTGTTTAGAGGTTTGACTGTACTTATTTTTTGAAAAATTCTTATTTAAGAAAATTGAAATAAAATTTTGAAATAACGGAGAAAACTATTTTTTAAATAATCAAAATTTAAATTTGAGTGTTTTTATTTCAATCATTCCATAAAGTATATTTTAAAATTGTATATTGCATAAACGTCGATATAACGCTTTCGAAAACTACGTCATTCGTAAAGAGCCAATGAATATTTGTAAACGGATCCTATTCGTGGATAATCGAAAACATTTCAGTATCTGCAAATTATTAAATGTAAAAATTTTGCATTGCAAATGACATTATCACCGAAACACGTGACTTTTAAACTTCGTAACTTCAAACCTTTGCGTACATTTCATTATTATAGGGGCTGTCCACAAATTACGTTACGCAGATATGCAGGTAATCGTTAAAATGCGTTACAAGGGAATGGGATGCTTACAAAAATATTACATAATAGTAGATTCTCAACCGTTAACAGAATGCTTCATTCTTGTTTCTGAAGCGTTGTATAGCGTTTATGACATTGTTTTGCATATTATACGTGTAATTAATAAAATAATGTAACGTTCGATATATTATTCCTTGGTATAATCGATCGAGGATATGCACTACGTAATTTTGGGATGGGTATTTGCGAACGAATTATGGGGCGTTATGGGAGGTAGAATGGTAATTGAAAACTATAACGAGTAAAAATTGCCGGGCTGCAATTTTTAATCATATTTTTAATTTATTTAATTTAAAATATATGCTCTTGATTTCAAATCAATAGTCTTGCCCCTGTACGTCATACTTTTCTTGATAACAATGGAGTCATGCCGGTCATCTATGTAACTCCGATCTGGGGAAAATTTTTGAATTAAAATCATATGACTTCCAGTGCAAACCAAATGTTCGTATATAGTTAACCGAGGCCTCCTGCCCCTAAGCTTTCCATATCTAGACTCATCTATCTAACAACGTTGTCGAGATTAAGGAAGGATATATAGACGGACAGACGGACGACAAATTGCAGCCCCAAAGTAACATTACGTAATGGATGGACGATCGTATATATCAGTTCAGTATCACACTCGATATATGTTCATAGAAAAACAGTGTCGTTAAATCGAAGTTAACTATATAACTATATATTTCTAGTAAAACAAGCACACTATAATTCTTTTAAAATTTAATTGGCAAATGCAACTCGTTTCTAAAAGTTTTCTCACTTAGAAAGCACTGATCCATTTTCTGTATTACTTTTGATGATGTAATTCGACTATGTAAATTATTACATTCATCTCACATATTAATTTTCTAGAAAAATGGCATAATTAGTTGTGAATGTTTTATTTTCTATCATTTCTCCTTAATTATTTCGAAACAAATACACTTAAGATAAGATAAAAATCATTTTAAAACTAGCGATTATTTTTCATGAAGTTTAATTGGGTCGATTATAATTATATCTTCGTAAATATGCGCTAATAATTTATATAATATGAGAATTATTTAAAAATTATTCATGGACCGTGTGGTGCCTTCATTAAGTATTATGTAATGCTTACTTATATAATAATGCATTAACCTTAAATTATCTCAAAAGATAGAATTAGTGAATCCAGATTTCATGATAGCTCATATTTTCTGCAGGATCCTAGAGAGTAGCCGAAAAATTCACCCATATCAGTTAATAGGTTTAGAAGTAAGAAATGAAAAGAAAGGGTAAGATTTCTAGGTTTCATGGTATCGATATTTTCCACAGGACCTGGAGAGTAACTCTGAAAATTGATCAAAAGGTGTAGGAAGTAATAGATGAATAAAATCAAAGGTTGTCTGTTTAGGTTGCATGGTGGCTCATACTTTCCACAGGATCCTATAGAATAATCTCTGAAAAATTCGATCCAGATCAATCAAAAGGTTTAGAAGTGTATAGAGGAAAAACAAAGAGACATCTTATTTTATATGCACATAGATTTTAAATCAATAAATAATTTAACTTTTAACAATAAAAAAATTAACTTTTTTATTGTTAAAAGTTTGTGAAATAGAAGTAATAATAATAATAATAATAATAATAAAAGTTTTAAAACAAAATAATAAAAATTATCCTTTGATTCTTGAAATTCGTTCTCAATAAAATCTTTTCGAAAATAATCTCTTTGTAAGTATATCAAAATTTCAAAATTCTTATTGAAGTAGAAAGAGTATTTGATAGATGACCAACAAAACCAAGCAGAAATGATACAACAGATTTCTTTATTTTCTTGCTTCAAAAATAACTTCCAGATAAGAAAAACAAATTCAAACCGATTTAAATTTATTCTTATTTTCATTATTTTAAAAAACATTTTAAAAATTATTTAATATATAATTTACCAATTTATTTCATTTCTGTTAATATGAAAATTCTATTCGTAAGATGCTCTAAAATATTTAGAAATGTACTAAAAAGAAAATTTTATTGAATATAAATTCGTTTGTTTCGTAAAAAATTAATTTTAAAATAAATTAAGAGCAAAAACTGATAATATTTTTTTAAATTTAAAAAATATGTTGAAGGTTAGTGGATATATTAATTAATTTCTAGCGAATTTGTATATATTTTTGACAGTGAATAAACTTTTTATTATTTTTTATTAAAATTAATTATTTTAAAAATATTGCATAAATTTTAAACGTTTCAATTTAATTTTTTTTTCTTTAATAATTAATTGAATTTATATCATCTTTATAATAAAATAAATAATTAAAATCTTATTTTTTTATTATAATAAAAATGCAGGAAAAACTTTTAAAAGTTATCTTAATTTAAATTTACATATATTTTANTTGTAAATATTTTGATATTAAAATGTATAATAATTTATTATTTAAACCCATGGATGATTTTTGAATGCTATTCACTAGCACGTGTTTCCCTTGGGGAGGATAGCTGAAATGACCTCCATGGACTCCACCCCCGAAATATTATTAACATATGGGATTCGTGACATTCAATTCTTAAATTTTTCATAAATGATACTGGATATTTGAAATATAAGCGAGCAATTATTGCAAGATCGTCACAATGCCGGGCTGCAGTTTCTAATTATCTTTTAATTTAAAAAAAATCACGTGATTTCCGGTCCAGACAGAAAGTTCGTGTATAATTAATCGCCTCTAATCCTAAGCTTCCGTATCCGATCTTGATTTTCCTCTATCTAACTCCATTTTCGAGATTAACGAAGGACAGACGGACAGACGGACGATAGTGGGAATGCAATTGCAATTTGCAGTTTGCAATTTGATAATTGCAGCCCAATAACACTAACACTTTCCATAATTTTATTATTATTATCTCGCCTATGGGAATGGCATCCGTTTAATTAATTTATTTAAAGAAAAATATAAACTAAATGCTGTTAATAATTGAAGACAC